GTATGTCGATGAGCTAATTATTTGGGGGGAAAGTATGGACAACACAATAGTAGACTTGAGAGAGTGCTGACGAAAGCACAAGAAGCAGGTGTGAAATTTCATAAAGAAAAATGCCAATTTTCAGTGCAGCAAGTAAAATATGTGGGCCATATCTTAACAAGTGATGGTTTTAAACCATCACCAGACCCAGAAAAAAATCGAGCTATTTTAGATATGGGAGAGCCAAAAGATAAAAAACAATTACAGAATATATTGGGTATCATCACATATATTACAAAATCTATACCAAATGCTTCGGATATTACTCATTTGTTTCGTGATTTACTTAAAAAAGACTCAGTTTTTATATGGAGTGATAAACAAAAACAAGATTACCAGAAACTTTAAAAAAATCTTACTTTAGAAACAGTTTTAAAGTATTATAATCCAAAATTACCAATAACATTGTTATTAGATAGCAGTAGCACAGGTTTAGGAGCAGTATTGTTTCAAAACAATATGCCTGTAGCGTATGTATCAAATGCATTGACTGAAACACAAACTAAATGTGCACAAATTGAGAAGAAAATGTTTGCTATAGTTTATGCCTGTGAAAAATTCCATCAGTATGTTTATGGTAAAAGCATAATAGTTGAGTCAGATCACCGATGCTTTGATAAACAAGTAGATCTACATGTGTGTATGATTATAAACAGTATGAATATTAGCAAAGAAATGTTTGTACAATTCAAAAAAGAAGCTGAAAATGACGATCAGCTTAAATTATTATTGCAATTTTTAAAAGAAGGATGGCCTAACTGTTCTGAAATACCATTCGGTTTAAAATTTTATTATTCTTTTAAGGACGAATTGTATGTTACTGACTACTTGATACTTAAAAATACGGCCCTACTAGTTCCAAAGAGTTTAAGAAGATAAATGTTAAGATTAATTCACTATAATCATTTAGGATATGAAAAATGCAAAACAAGAGTTAAGAATGTTTTGTAATGGCCATTTATTTTCAAAGAATTAAAAGATGAAATATCAAATTGTGAAAAACGTTTGCGTTTTCAAAAAACACATATGCATGAACCTTTGATGCTAAGAGAGTTTCCAGAAAGACCATGGCAAATAATCGCTGCAGACATGTTCTTTTTGCAAAATAAAACATATTTGTTAATTGTTGACTACTTGTGAAAGCTCTGAAAACAGTGTTTTCACGGTGGGGTATTCCTGAAAAGCTATGAACGGATGAAGGATCATAGTACAATAGTTTGATTTTTAAAGAATTTTATTAAAAGTTGGAACTTTCAACATATTACATCAAGTCCATATTATCCGAGATCAAATGGAATGGTGGAAAGATATATTCAAACGGGGAAAAATATATTCAAAAAATGTTTGTATGACAATAAAGATCCTTTCCTAGCCTTGATGGAGTACCAAAACACACCAATAGACCATAAGGCTCCATCACCAAATCAATTGTTATTAGGAAGACAGGTAAATTCATGTCTGCCTACAAATGAGGTTAAAAACAAACAAAATAATAAAAGCATAAGAGAACATTTATTAGACACGAGAAATAAGTATAAATTGTATCATGACTAACAGAGCAGAGGAAAGGCAGAAGGAATGTATTTGTCAGAGAAAGTAAAATGATAATGTTAAAGGTCAGATCGTAGGACAGATGTTAATCCAAGAACTTATAAAGTGACATTAGAAAATAGGGAAACTATCAAAAAAAATAGGTATAATATTTATAAGGGGTCTCAGAACACTAACTTTGTAATTAAGGAAAAAAATAAAGGTTTATGATTCACAGATTAATAATTAAAATAATGCTAAACTAAATAGTACCAATCAGATAGTAGAAAATCATTTTGAAAGTTTATATGAAAGTGTTCAAAGTAATAGTACTGACAATAATTTACAAACAGAGCAGACAACAAAAAGATCAGGTAGAATTGTTAAACAACCTACATATTTAAATGATTATGAAACTTAAGATTACTAGAAAATAAGTACTAGATGATAAGTTTAATTTTAAAGTTAAGGCAATGTTATGTTACTAGTAAAATAATTGTGTTAGTTAAGTAAACTTAAAGTTTAACGAAATAATTATAAACTTACAATATTAATAAAAGTTAAGTAAATATAAGAAGGGAGATGCAGATAAGTTAAATCACTAATGCCTTTACCTAATACATCACTAAGGTATGTTAATGATTCATAAAATAAAGATGGCGCAGAGTGCTAGACTTACTTAGTGTTTTAATTAATCAAACCAACATTACAACCGACCATCTTGTAAAGGTCGCGGGAAGCCGATGGACGCGAGTGGCGCAGGACCGATCGGTGTGGAGATTCTAGGGGGAGGCCCATGCTCAGTAGTAGGCGTCGTACGGCTGACATGATGATGATGATGATTAGAAATGGTATCTTGTGCGCTAAGTATTGTGATGTGTCCAAAACCAATAACCCAAATATTTATTCATTTCACAGTTAAATATTTGGGAACTGGTAACTGAGGCGGTGACGGTGGATGATCAAGTTATTTTCCGATTAAACTAAAACATCAATCTGCGCCCTGGCTCACAAAGAAAATCAAAATGCTAATGCATAAGAATGATGTCGCCAAAAGTAAATATAAACGCCGTACGACTAACTCAAACAAAGCTCACTATATCAGAGCCCGTTACCACTGCAATTAGGTGTGTCACACACACGATAATAAAGATCCAGCAAAAGTCTGGAATTTTCTCAAATCACTTAGAATTGGTAAGCCTCGACAAGAATCCGTCCCTAGTAACTTTGACGTCAACTCCTTAAACCTTTATTTCTCATCTTCTTCTGGTCTTAGTGATTCAGATAAACTTACATTTTAAATTATCTTATTTCCTTACCAGTTTCAGACTACTCTCTTTTTGTTTTTGCTCAATTCTCTGAACATGACCTTAAAAAGAGCATGCTTTCTATCTCATCCAATACGGTGGGGAGTGACAGCATAAGTTGCGACATATTAATACCAATCTTGGATATCATTCTCCCCGTTTTTACATTTCTTGTTAATAGTTCTATTTCTAATACTGTTTTTTCTTTAGCTTCGAAGCAAGCTAAAATTATTCCTTTGCCAAAGAAATGTAACCCCCAATCCTACGCTGATTTCCGTCCCATCTTCATTCTTCCCTACCTATCAAAGATACTTGAGCGCCTTGTCCTCTCAACCAATTCAATATTTTTCCTTTTTCGCCACGATCTCTTTAACCCTCTCCAATCCGGTTTCCGTCCGGGACACAGCTTTACTTTATCGGCGATTGAGTGGTTTCACAGTTATTTGTATGGGCGCAGGCAGCGTGTCCGCCTCGAAGACTCGTTTCTTTCATGGTGTGACACCACTGCTAGCCTTCCTCAAGTCGGCGTTATTTCTCCTCTTCCCTTCGCTGTATTGATTAATTCAATCTCTAATAATATTACTTCTTCCTACCACATTTCGACGACCTCCGTGGTTGAGTGGTTTGTGCGCCGGGGTTCATGGTGTCGCCGACTCGAGAGGTCCCGGCTTCGAATCCCAGTGGGGGCAGATGTTTCGTGTGATGAATACGAGCATTTGTACTCCAGTCATGGATGTTTAATATGTATTTCTATATAAATATACTTATATATGTACTGTATATGTATTCTATCCGTTACCCTAGTATCCCATAACATAAGCCTTACAGTTCTTACTTTGAGGCTAGGATAATTGGTGTGGGTGTTGGAAATATTTATTTATTTATTATTATTATTATTATTATTTATAATTTAAGCACATGAATTTCAAATTCATCAACAACATTGGTCAACTTGGTGATGCAGTGCTTGCCACAAACAGTGATTTGAGTAAAGTATTGAAGTGGAGTAAATTTTTTGGGCTGGAGGTAAATCCGTCTTAATCAAATAATACTATTATTGGAAGTTCCAGGATCATCGCCAAAGTTGACTGGTAAACACTCCCGGCACCATCATTCCGTTCAGCATTTCAGTGTAGAACTTAGCATCTAGTAGACTGTGGATATAATACCAAATTTTACATAGTGTTGTGTTGCTCTACAAAAGTTAATTGCGGTGTGGAGGCACCATTAAGGCTTCATTTGTTTTTAAATATTATTTTGGTTATGTTACCTTTACATAATATTATGTAAACTGCCTTGAATTTATGAAAACTAAAGTTTATTTCGTGAAATAATTTAACAGTTTTATTTTTCTATCTCTGAATCTAAATGAATCAATTAATGTAAAATTGCGGCAATTTTGCTAAATTTCGATTCAGATTTAGCCCATACTAATTTCTTAAATTGACATTTTGACAATTCTATAGATTAAAATCTACTTTTAATTTTGAAATTTTGTAAATTTACTGCAAGTGGCCCTAATAAATTACACTAATATTATAAAGGTGAAAGTTTGTGAGTGTGTATGTTTGTTACTTCTTCACGTCTAAACGGTTGGAGAGATTTTAATAAAATTTGACTTAAATACTGCTAGAGCGAATCCCAAGCAGCCATATTATTCAAAGAAATTTTAATAAAAAACTAAAAAAAATGTTAATATGCTGTATGGGTATTATTCTCTTTGCCTTCCCTGAAAAGCGATAACTACAAAAAAAATGGTCATGAGTTTTTGGCGGGATTTTATCGAGTGCGGTTGGCGAGTTATTTTAATTATTCTTAAATTCGTTCATAGTGGATATTGTGAAATAAAATTGGTGTGATTTTGTGATACAACCGCCTGCGCAACTGAAGAATTAGTGGAATCTTTGAAATATACGTTATTTTGGTCAAGTGGACGTGAGAACTTAATTATAGTGTTGACTACCTCACAGAAGCATATCAAAAAAGTGCCAAACACTCCAAGAAAGATTAGTTAGAATGCATCATATGTAAAAAAAAAACAAGATTTATATAATTAAGACTAGGCTGTATGGGCATTGTCCCTTTGCCTTACCTAAACAAGGAGAATCTTAAAAAAAGAGTCATGCTTTATCCGTTCCCGTATTAATTAGTTTGTTTTGATCATTAAAGTTTGTGGTTTTGGTTCTTCAAATATTCCCGTCTGATGCATTGCATAGTATCTCGTTAGTAGTTTGTGCGTGAAATCTAAATCTATCTACAAGAAAGAGCTGAGTTCGAGCTACTGTCTCTTTGGGATGCTAATTAGATATCTTGTTTTTCATCAAAGGCGCAGTTTTACAACTTGTAGAAATAACAGTGTTCAAATAAAAATCAAAAATGAATTCCCTGGAACAACTTCAAGATTACATCAAGACTAAAAACAATTCTAGAAACTTTATCAATATATCAGACGTCCCAGAAGTATGTAAAACAGAACCTTGTATGCTAGGAGTAGACGAAGCTGGTAGAGGCCCAGTACTAGGTGATTACCACATGGCATGGCTCGATTACACTAGGTCGTTAGACTGTATTCAGGTGCACGAAAGACGTAACTCGAATTCGGGCACCCGAAGCAATATTTACACTGGAATACGGGCTAGCAGACATTGTCGGGTACAACACGAAATCTACCATAATACGGGCGTACTCGACTCCTTTCATTTACACTTAGTTGTTACCTGAATTCCATTGGCAATCATACTCGGGCTAACAGCTAATAGTATAATTGAGCCATCAGTCTTATAATGTCCACATCTTAAGTAACAGTCTTAATTTAAAGTTATTTACTTAAATAATTGTTTTCAGGACCAATGGTATATGGTATTGCGTACTGTCCTGTAAACAAAAACAGTATACTGGAATCCCTTGGGTGTGCTGACTCCAAAGCATTGACTGAAGAAAAACGAGATGAGATTTTATTGAAAATGTTCACTAATGATGATGCAGTAAACAATGTGGGGTGGGCTGCTGAAATTATATCTCCAAGTTATATTTCAAATTCAATGTATAAGAGGGCAAAACATTCTTTGAATGAGGTAAGAATTTAACTTCAAAAGCAGCAAAGCAACATTGTTCCTTAGAAACTTAAGCTATATTTTATTGCAATGAAAGTTTAATATTTTCATAAAAAAAAATGCAACTGATGATAAAATTTTTGTAGTATGACTGTTACTTTTTCTCCAGGCGCATTCTAATCATCCTGCTTCTTTTAATTAAACACTATTTAAACATGAGAGCAAACATTTCAAAGGTATGAAAACAGTATTTGTTTTGCCTATAACTCACTTTGTTCTGGCGTAGTGAGGCAAGGCTAAAACTATAATAAAGGAACTGTTTTAAAGCAATATGACCGATGACCTTGATCGCGAACAATCCCATTCAGAAGGTATGATTAAAAAATACTGATTTATTGCAATTTATCAATTTCAGGTTTCAATGGACTCTGCTATTAAACTTATAAAAAGAGTTGCAGAATCTGGGGTCAATTTAACAGAAGTGTATGTGGACACAGTTGGTCCTCCTGAAAAATACCAGGCTAGGTTAAGTCAAATATTCCCTGATTATAAAATCACAGTAAGTATTGCCTTAGTTATGTATAACATTTAAAACTTAATTAATATTCTTAATTATTAGCTTGAAATTAAAATTAAAAATAATGTTATGATTTTATTAATTTTTTAAGCATTTAACTGCTAGATGTTTAAATCTAAAGAAAAGTTTACTAAAAAAAAATCCACGCGGTCCTGGCAGCGGACGGGACTCGAACCTGCATCCTTCGCTATACGGGCGAATGCACTGACCATTATGCTACCACGGCCCTATTAGCCGCGTTGAAATTTTCCTAGCCTTAAGCTGCAAGGCAGCGCCATCTCTTCGCATTGTAGGTAATCCACAATGTCAAATGAATACTTTTTCAAGTATTAAACATTTGAAAGAAGAAATAGCAATTATAGTTATGATTTTATTTATTTTTTAAGCATGTGACTGCTCGATGTTTAAATCTAAAGAAAAGTTTACTAGAAAAAAATCCACGCGGACCAGGCAGCAGACGGGACTCGAACCCGCATCCTTCGCTATCCGGGCGAATGCACTGACCATTATGCTACCACGGCCCTATTAGCCGGTCGAAATTTTCCTAGCCTTAAGCTGCAAGGCAGCGCCAACACCATTACATTAATTTCTTTAAAACTGTACTTATGAATGAAATGACTCGTTTTTCTTGACTCTAATAGTTCCCGCATAATTTGTAAACTATTTAAAAAACACACATAGTGGCTTTTTGTTTGGAAAAACGTAAAATATTTATTTATAAGTTGTAGCGAAGTGTAACCGGAGCCAGAGAGCGTGCCTGACAGAATGCAAGTCGGGCAATTACCTGACTTTCGTATTGCTTAATTAGAAGCGTGTATGACGTATCTATAACAATAAAATATCATAGGATTAAGCTATTTGTCATGTTTTTATAGGTTGCAAAAAAGGCTGACTCAATCTACCCTATTGTGTCGGCGGCTAGTATAGTGGCTAAGGTCACCAGAGATCATTGTTTAAAAGTTTGGCATTTCCAAGAAGGTTTGGAGATGAGCTATAAAGAGTTTGGTAGCGGCTATCCTGGAGGTACGATATATTAATTTTATCTCTTTAATCAATGAGATTTTTTTGCCTGGCAAGCTACCCCCTCAAGTCGAAATCTGGTGATCATATCTATTCCACTACCCTCTCTTATGCTGAAGATATTTTATGAAGGCTGTAGTATACTATTCTTGGTTAAATGTCCACTTCACTACCACTCAACAACTTGTCAGTTTTCTACCTTGATGGAAATTGAATACCAATTGGGTACATATGGCATATAAAACAGCTACTTACTACCATAACGCATTATTTTTGGGTCCTTTGGGTATCAAACCAAAAGTTTTTAGGAAAATATTTGTCACTCCCATTAATAGGGATGACGACTTACTTTTTTACTTTGTGTATCAGTTAGATTACCAAAAAGTATTGGACACGTATTTTTTCTTTTCTCACATAATCAAAACATTACAGAGATATATTGATTTGAAAAGTCGCATGACGTCACGTTTTGTTACTATTTGTACTTAAAACTGACGTCATGAGCCCCTACTCCCAAACTTTGACGCGCTTTATCTTTGTTAATTTTTGGATGATTGACCAAAGAAAAAATACGTGTCCATTATTTTTTTAACATCTAATTGACGGACTTAATAGAAATTTGTTTACTTTACCCCGTTGTCACCCCTATTGTGCATATTCTATTTGATCTTGTAATTTGGCAATAAATGTATAAATATTGACGACCTCCGTGGCCGAGTGGTTTGTACGCCGGGTTTCATGGCTGTCGCCGACTCGAGAGGTCCCGGGTTCGAATCCCGGTGGGGGCAGATGTTTGTGTGATGAATACGAGCATTTGTACTCCAGTCATGGATGTTTAATATGTATTTATATAAATATACTTATATATGTACAGTATATGTATTCTATCCGTTACCCTAGCATCCCATAACACAAGCCTTATAGTGCTTACTTTGGGGCTAGGCTAATTGGTGTGAGTGTCGGAAATATTTATTTATATTTATTATTATTATATATTTTCTTTAATTTCCAGATCCCTTAACAAAGAAGTTTATTAGAGATCAAATTGACAAAGTATTTGGTTATCCATCTTTAGTGAGGTTTAGCTGGTCAACGGCAGAAGTAATGCTGCAAGGTAAAGCAGCCACCTGCACATTTGAAGATGTTGACGACGATGGACAGACTAAGAAAGCAAACACAAAATCCATTAGTTCATTTTTTACTATGCCCAATGAGAATGGAACGAAAAAGAGGAAAAGACACAAGTTTTTCGAGGAAAGGTATTTGTCTATGAAGAATGCATTTGAATAATTATTACATGAATGAGGCAACCTATAATTGATAAGAATAACTTTGTACAATAAAGTGATGGTTTTATTCGATGATCATTTTTATTTTCAACATTACTTTCTTTATAATAAAATGAAAGTAATATAAGATCCAAACTTATACTTCGTTTATTAATAAGGGGTCGCAAGTGGAGTTGAGAATAGGTGTCATAGTCCAGGCGTCCAGGGTGGTCCTATATACGGACTGATATGAAGTAGACTTGCAACGAATAGTATATTCGGCAGTATACCGAATATTCGGCAAGGCCCCTGTCTGAATAGCCGAATATTAGGCAAAAGTATTCGGCTGAATTTTAGCGCCAAAAACTTGTACAGACGTGATTGTTTCGCGCTCCTTTGTTTTGTTCTAATCTGCCGTCCTCAAGCTAAAATGCGGCTAAATGACAAAACCCAAGTTTTGGGATATGGCCAAAAACGGCGCGTAAACTTTAAATTATTGCTATTACGTAACCATTCATCACATGACTGAATGAATTAAAAACTTGTATAATACAGAAAATTATTAAATTATGTACCTGTTTTATATACCAATGACTACATAATAAATGATTATAAAAGAAATGAGAAAAAAAAACACAAAAATTCAAATACATATATTCCTCCATTTTTCCAATTCAGAAGATGATTATGTACCTGTGTACCAATGACTACTTAAATGATTATTTAACATAAATGAAAATATGAATATATACGCAATCAATCGATTTTTAATTTTTCATTTTACCAATTATTTCTCTATGACAAAATATATTATTTAAGTATTCGGTATTCGGCCGAATATAATAAAAGCAGCCGAATAGACCGAATACCGAATAGTAACCAAATATTCGTTGCAAGTCTAATATGAAGGTTTTCGTAAAAACAAGACAAAACTTGATTATAGCTATAGTCGACACGGCATCGGCATCTCTGCAAAAATCTCAATACAGTCAAAGTTTCTATTAAATATAAACTGTTTATATTTTTTCACTGTTTATTTTAAAGTTATTAGTAGGGGTGTATTTTAAAATCTGGACCGGACCCTTACGATTTGTATCCCCTCCCCTAGAAGTTTTAAATCAAAACAAAATGTAGGCCGCCCCTTGCAGCCTGTCGCCTCGGGCCATGGGCCTCTTGGCCCAGGGTAAATAGGCACGTGGTTATTAGTGAATCAAGACCCTCAGCAGTTGTTACTAATTGGAAACCATTGGCACAGATTTGTATAAGTTTCGTTTTCGATTTGCAAGTGTAAATATCTCCTTGCATTGCAGATTAGTAGAAATCGAAAAATAATTTAAATACCTACAGCTTATGCCTTTGTTTTCTTTGGCTGAATGTATGTGCTGCATAGCTTTGCGTACCTACCTGTCCTGTGCGTGCGCGTTACTGGCGCTGTGCCATAAAAAGGCTTTGAAAATACTTGTTAAAAAACAGCATTACGTCTGCAGTAAATAAATATTCCGCTAGATTAAAGTAGGTACTTACTAGGTATTTGTTTGTTGCAAATGTAAATATATTTGCAAAGGTGCCGATGCTTACTATACTACGCACTCTTTCCAAGGTCATGAATGACTGTCTAGTTGTAGTTCAAAATATTTATCTTTTTTTTACATCGTCGGTCGTATGCTATGCATGTGCTCCTGCATGGACCAATAAACCTTTTAATGTCCATCGTAAGACCCGGCCTAGATTTAGGGGCCTCCATTCCTACATTGCCCACACCTCTAAATCCGGCTCCGTGGCTGAGAGTTGAGGACGTTGTTTGAAGGACGAAGGTATCTTAATGAATTCTCATTAGGGCAATTTTTAAAGGCAAAAGATTGGCATACAACCCTAACTGCTTGATGGTAAGCGGCGCAGCCATTACCTGTAGGCACTATATGACTGACTTCGTCCGCGTTAAGTTTTAGTTTTTTTTTCTAAATAAAAGATTTTTTCTAAAATAAAAGTAGCCTTAGTTACTCCTTATTACATCAGCTACCAGCCAATAAAAGTCCCATCAAAATCGGTCCAGCCATTTCAGAGATAAGCCGGAACAAACAGACAGACAGACAAAAATTGTCAAGACAGGCATATGCATGTAGTAAAAAGCGGCTATTTCAATAGTACAAACAGACACTTCAATTTTGTTTATATGTATAGATATCAAAGTAGGTATACGATCTCACGCATTGCCTAAACTGTCTCCGTCCCCTACCTACCCCGTGGAACCATGGAAGAAAACTTAACTCATCGACAGAAACACAATATTAACAAAAGCAATCTAGTGTCTATCACTGTGATCTTAAGATCTGTAAAAATATTTTTATTTCGATTGGAAAAAAGCCGTTACACAGTACAGGCACTTCAAGATTTTAAAGAAAAGCGTTTAATGAAACTTATTTTTCTTTATTTGAACTCCTTTAGTATAAAATTACTACTATTATCTATTTTCAAAACAAATCAAATAAGCAATATTCTTAAATGATCGTATTGGTTTTCGTGTTTTGCAAGTGTTTATGGCCGTCTTCCGGTTCAGTTGTTGAATAAGAATATTGCGTTGTGTGTTCGATTTCCAAAAATATGGATAGAAAAATGAAAAATCATCTTAATTGGAAACCGGAAGTGGGACAATAACTGACTGACGGACGAAAACCAGGAAAGATGAAACTTATAAGATTGTAAAAGGTAGGCGTGATAGGACAAGAAATGTCTAGCCTTTTATGAAATAAGTACTTATTGTATCAGTGAAACTGAGCACGTAGATATTCAACATCTCATTTATTCTCCTGGCAAGTTGTTTAATAAAAAGAAAGTCGTTTTCGTGACACAATGACTTTGTTACTTACATAATTTAGAATTCGGTAATAAAATAGGTAGATATACGAGCTTTGGCTCAACGTTTTGAAAGGGCAAGTAATGTAATATGTATAGGAACTTTTGATATCCGTTTTGATCATAGGGAATCAACGAAAATAATTTTTATGATGAAAACAAATCGCAATTTCGATGCCTATAAAAATTGTCCATGTGATTTTTAATAAAAAAGATTAAGTTTTAAAACAAGCTTTTATTAATTTGTAAGTAGTAAAAAGTGAACCCGTCCAGTAGCTCTTATTTAATAGACTGACGATAAGGACGCGACCAAAAGTCATGGCCGTTTGTTGAAAACGTTTTTGGTTGTCCTGGGGGCCTATGTCTATGGCTAGCGCTATCGCTTACAATTTCATTTTGTTATTTCTGACCGCCTGATGTTTTCAAAGACCTCACGCTCAAATTACTTAATATTGTTATTATTAATGCAAAAGAAAAAAAAGAGCGCTAGGCATTTGAAAACACTCGGCGGGCAGAAATAACAAAATGAAATCGTAAGCTATAGCGATAGCCATAGCAATTCCGACAGGCGATTCCGACCGACCCTACATAGAGGGCTCAGGTATGGTGGGAGTACTTCAAAAGGTGCAAGGTTGCTCCCCTTATGATTCAGTCCACCCATCATCTATATACCTTTCAAATAGATGGAGATGCAATAAAATAATAATAATTAAAAAAAACAATAATTATAATTAAGCATTTTGTTTTGCTCATGGTAAGCCGGGTTGCCCTAATCCTAAGGAAAATCTGTGCCTAGGAGCATTATAATATCTGTGGCTATAATTCTTACTTAGGTATATCCAGTATCATTTGCAAAATTAAAGGTAATAAATCATTTTATACATACGTACCTACGTAAATTTTTATACATAATAATATTAAAAAGAAAGAATACCAACTTTCATATTGCACGATTTTACGTTTTTAGATAACAAGTAATAATGTTTGGCTATTAAGACAGCGTTTAGGAGTTGCTAGTTGCTTTTTACTTTCTCCAACAATTCGGGTCCATATATAGTTTTGTTTATGCGATGAAAGATGCCCGATGTTCAGGCCGGCACATCCATAGGCTCACAGAAGCGAGCCAGGGACGAGCCAGCAAACGCTGTCTCTCGCCTCCTCTATTTGCATTCGAGTCACACGCACACGCACCTACTTACCATGAGCAATGCGGAACGCAGAGGTCACTTAGAGAATTTAATTGTGTTCCATTATCATATTTAGATTCTTTTACGGTAAGTCAAAAGTGAAAACTGAATGGTCCTCGATGTCGCTTGTCATTCGTCAGCCACAGTTGATGGAGCACGCTCCTTTTGGACGGTAGCACCAGGATTAAAGAAATGGCGTTGCTGCGGAGTTGTGTGGCGTTATTGACGATTTGTGTGTGTGTATCCGCGATAGTCGGCCCCGAAGGCAACAGCACGAAGAAACAAAACTCGAAAACCGATTCATATCTGGACGCTTATTCGAAATCACGCGTGGAAGCTGAGAAGGCGAAGAAAGGTGTCGTTATAGTAACTGCTAAAGATGGCGAGAAACAAATAGCGAACCGCGACGACAGTGGATACGATTATTCACCTCCTTTCAGCGGTGACAACAGTTTCAGTTCATCTGGTTCTGGATTTTCCGGTCCATCAAGTGCTGCCAACAGTTATCTGCCACCGAACCATAGCCCTGTGAAATTTGAATCGGATATCACGTACAATTCTCCACCTAATACCTATGGTCCACCGTCTCCGAGTTACCCAGCTCCGGTATCGAGTTATGGACCCCCAAATCACGGTCCACCGGCATCAAGTTATGGACCTCCAGTGCCGAACTACGGGCCTCTTGGTCCGAGTTACGGCCCGCCCGCTCCAAGTTATGGTCCACCTGCACCTATCTACGGACCTCAATTTCCCAAGCCGTTACCGCCAATCTATGGCCCACCACTTAAGCCGTCATACGGAGTTCCATACACAGCACCTGCCTTAGGATTATTTGACAAATTAGCTTTGAAGCTAGATATACTTACGATTGCTAAACTTCTTTTGAAATTTTTGATTTTCAAAAAGCTAGTGACCATGCTAGCTGTCGTATGCATGCTGTTGGTGATTCCAAAACTGATAAGTTTTAAGAAAGACAAAAATGATGATCCTAGCAATGATGAAGACGAACGCAAGTTTAGAAGTCCAAATGGTGAGTAATTTGATGAT